TTATTGCATGACAACTTGAAATTTGATTCAGAACCAAAAGTATCCTTCCATGCCCTGTACTAAACGGTCGATTTGGATTTGTCTCGGAAATTCGAAGGGCAATGCTGACTCCACTTGAGATGCACAGAAGCTGAATGCCCAGGCTATAAGGGACTGAGTCCTCAACTAGTCCAGTTTGTTCCGCTCCTTCTGTAGGACCCCGGCAAGACAGGTACTCAAGGAGGAATTGACACTTCTGCAGCCGTTGCAACCTCATGACAGGTCTGCTTGATCCTCTCCGACTGTTTTGTTTCAATCTTCCTGCGATGGTGAAGGTCAGGTGGGTCAATTAGACGTGTGATGGGGCAAAGCTGTCCAGTGTAAGGAATTCCAACGCTCATTGGGCGCTGGTGGTGCCTGGGGTAATGGCCTTTGGCAGGGCACAGAGCATCGGCAAAATGAACGAATCATTTGCTTGGCCACATCACAGATGTCAGAGACGGTCTTGGACAGCAAGTTTGCTGCCAGCACCATTTTTGAGGGGGAGCGCTTCAAGTCTTGCCCAAAGATTACGCTGCTCTTTCGGTTCTCAGCTGGCAGAGAGTGGCAATCCCTGGCCGAGGCAAGTGTGCCAACAACTCCGGTGCGGTGATTTCGTCTGAACGCTCGTGAGCCGCTAAAGCCTTGCTGAGGGGAACTCAGAATTGAAGAAACCCTGAAACACCTCATGAGCCATGTTATCTACTATTTGGTATTAGCAGTAACCATCCCACCAACGAAACTGACTATGTGCCCCAATTCAATTTGCAGGGCAGCCCTCTCCAGGCCGAGCTTGCGCTCCGTGTCCTTTTTCGGCCTTTCCGACGGCAAACTTCTCGGAGGCTCCAGCGACGGTGTTGAGACGCAAGGCTTAGGGTGCGGCCGACTTGTTGGAACACGGCAATACTGTGGATCAACTATCCTCATTACGGTTTCCCCTTTGTCAAGGAGCCCATGGATTGAGTCCTGAAACAAAATTCGCCCAATCCTGGTCATCCGCCACAAAAAGAGTGAAAATATGCATCCAGCCTTCAAGAGCTTGCCAAACTGAGGTGTATGAAGCAGTGAGCGTAGGGATCGCGTTCAACAAGGCCCCTTTGAACGGTTGGCTTGATTTTGGCTTTCCTCGAAGACAGCCTGGAGGGGATCACACCACATCCGTGCGTTCTGCGTTCTGTCTTGGCCATCGCTTGTCACGTGCCAGGAGTTGCTGCGCTCATGAGGGCCGCCACCTCAGCTTCGGATGCCGTAGCTCTACAGAGCTGCTCATGAGTACACACATAGTCACATAGGTACATTATCTCCATGAAAGTACATGTTTATTGCAAGTCATAGACATTGATAAGTAAATGCACAAATGAGTGAATCAGTGAAACACACAAAACAGGTAGATAGATCAACAAGCACAACAAAACGCACATAGACAAATATATGCAAGACTAAGCACTACGTAGACAAACACATTGCTAAATAAACACATGAACACACAAGTAAACAAGTCAAACAAATCAAACTCAATCAACTGAATGAATTAATGAAGAAGGGAAGGAAGGAAGGAAGGAAGGAAGGAAGGAAGGAAGGAAGGAAGGAAGGAAGGAAGGAAGGAAGGAAGGAAGGAAGGAAGGAAGGAAGGAAGGAAGGAAGGAAGGAAGGAAGGAAGGAAGGAAGGAAGGAAGGAAGGAAGGAAGGAAGGAAGGAAGGAAGGAAGGAAGGAAGGAAGGAAGGAAGGAAGGAAGGAAGGAAGGAAGGAAGGAAGGAAGGAAGGAAGGAAGGAAGGAATGTATGCATGAATGCATTCATGGATGCATGCATGGATGCATGGATGGATGGATGGATGGATAGATGGATGCATGGATGGATGGATGGATAGATGGATGCATGGATGGATGGATGGATGGATGGATGGATGGATGGATCGATGGATGGATGGATGGATGGATGAATACATGGACAAATAGATAGAACAACAAACAACTACATGAATATAAGATAAAGCAGATGAAGCAATCTGTAATATGTCTCTCAAGCGCTTCCGGGCGCTGCTCTCCGAGGCCTTGCAATGACTGGTGGTCGTCCGTGCCCAGCTCAGGGACCTCGGGACCTCGGGACCTGAAACGCGAGGGAGCGGGCAACAAGGTGGCTGAAACAGCCGGACGGTAGCAACACGGCGAGGCGGTTGGAACAAAGCTGGCAACAGGGCTGGCCCAACTGTCGGGGAAGTCTTTTTTTAGGAAGCGGAACCTTGGGGTTCCATCTTGATTTGCAATCCCCCCCCACTGCAATTATTCAGCAACTTTTCAGTTTTGAACTCAAGAGGTTCACAGATTTCTGAGCGCAGCTCTGCGGGGAGCCCAGGCTTTCAGCCTCGCTGCGGAGCTGCCGCCCTAGCCTACGCATAGAAACGTCTCTTTGTTTTTGTTCTCTGGCAAGTTCTCAAACTTGCTTCTGTGGGTGGAGGAGAACACGTGCTTTTTTCTTCTTTTTTTCCATCACGGGATGCATTTTGCGGACAAGATTTGACGGGGCTCCTTCCACCCTGACATTCAGCTGCTGAATTGGGACTGGAGGGCAAATTCTGCGAGGGTTTGCCTAGAACAGGGCAATCTTTTGGGGGCCGTGTTCAATCCGCCGACCCAAAGGGTTGAGCCAATTCGGTCGATGCTCTATGTGGGTATGTGTAAAATACCAGGGAGTGTTCTTGGCTTGATCATGCTGGTGCATGTTGGGCAGACAAGTCCCGACCGCCACAGGCCAGGAGCACAGCTTCCAAACTCGAGGCACAGTTTTAAGTTTTCGTTCAGGGGGCCAGGAAGTCAAAGAGAAACCGTCAGTTTCAATTTTGGGGACTCGCATTTGAGCTGTTTCAACCAAATTGGGGGTGGGGGTGGGGGGCGGGGGTCTAAACAATCGGTCTGTTTGCCAGTGTTTCCACTAGGCAAGCAGCAAATTAAAGAAGTTCTCGTGCTTGTTTTCCCGCATGAGCAGTATGCACGCTTCAACTAAGTTTGCTGGTTTGTCGTTAAGCATAACCAGTCCTGGGTGGTGAAGGTTCGGTAACATCTTGCAATGATGTCATAAGAGATTAGAATCCTAGTTTGGAAGTTGAAGAGTGAGCTGAAGTTTGGGAAGGTGTGAAAACCACACAGAAACGCTCAGTGGACTCGTGGACGATCCGTTTCGTCGTGACAATCGGTTTGCATGCAAGCTCGCCAGGCTCGGATGACTGGGCAGCTAGGCCTGCCGCGCTCACGGGGCGTACGAGCAAGGGACCAAAGAAGTTTTTTCGGAGCGCCCGGAATCCCCAGCCAATTGAGTCACTCGCGGACTCGATTGTTTTGTGGAGGTTATAAGGGCCGAGAGCAGAACCGAAGCTCACGTGATGCCGATCTCCGCTGCTCAATGCACCGGTCCTTTTCTCAAATCGGCACCTTGGTAAATGAATCCAAAGACTAAAACCTGCGGCGTAATCCTAGCTCTGTAATTTTGAGCCACAGCCATGTTTCGACTGCTTGTTTGCCTGCAGGGTTCCAGTGGCCCGCGCTTCGGGGTGTGGTACGGGGACCGGGTCCCTGGTCCCGGGTTCTGCATACCAAGGTTCAGGGTACACAATATGAGCTGTTTGGTCTTGCACAGCAACCAGGGCTTGCCTGACCAAAACCTGATCTGACCTTGTCCTTCAATCAGTTTGGTCCATTCCTGGTGGCAACCCAAAAGGTTTACCCGGGTTTGTCTCACAGTCTCAAATGTGGATTGTATGCTTCTTTTCCTGCCGGGTTTTGCTTGTGCCTTCGATGCTGTTGCTTCGGAATCACTATTGCCAATTGGCCCAGCAGACGTTTGTTTTGGTTTTGGGAGGGTGCGCCTGACCCCGCGCGAAGCAGGGAGAGGCCGAGCACGTCGCCGGCGTCGGCCTCAGACGGCCAGATTTGTGATGCCAGCGCATTGCCCATGGTTCCGATGACCATAGTTGTTCAGAAGCAAGAACTCCACGGTGCCGTCCACGGGGAGTCGTGAGCCGGACGTAGATCCGGCCTTGAAGCCTTGTTTCCGTGTAGATTAAAGGTTTGACTCAGGGGTCTTGGCATCTCCGCGTTGTCTCTGGACGCCCAAAGGGATTACTTGGAAGGTTGTGAGAAGGGACAGCTAGACGATTTTGGTGGGGGATCATGTCAAGATTTGCCGCGGCCGAGAATGGTAGAAGTAAACTTCTGATCAAGAAGCACCTACAACGCATTTTCGAACCCTTTTGGCGGGGCATGGGATCCTCACCAAAGCTGCCATCTCATTCGACGCACATTGCTCTCTCACTCTCTGAGGCAGGACCCGTTTGGGAGCATGACGTGAGGCGCCCCGACCCCGAAAGGGCAAGCACTGCATGGCACTATTCTATAGACAACAGTTGTGTGATCCACAAAGACATTTCAGTTGGGGGTAGGGAGGTTCACCCCTGAAGGACATTTTGAATGGCAGTTATAAGGATTTCTACTGAGTGAGCCACGCCATAGCCCATACTTAGTTTCGATCATGGCACAGATGGTGAGTTGAGCTGGACAGGTGGTGGTGTACTTTTGCAAGAGCACACGGCAGTCATATTATTTTGGGTGCACATTCTCACCACGCCTTTGGCGTAGCTAAGTTCTGGCGAATCCTGATTTTACTTGCGCAAGACTTCAACTCCTCCGGTCCTACCGCCAGCATAAGGCTACCGACCTACATGCAAGCATGACATCCAGTCTGTGACATGCATGTGTCGAGCTTTCCCACAAGTCCACAAGTTTGCAAGTTCCACGCCTGGAGAGTGGTTCGCATCATTGCGACCCCCGGCACGTGGGCCTTTCATTTTAGAGATTGCTGACATCCCGCACCATAGGCAGTGGGTCATATGCAACGATGCAACGTGTCCTTGTTCATGTCAGCACGCCGTTTGGCAACAGATCTCGGGTACCAGCACGCCGTTTGTGTGGAGGGGCCATCCGTGCGAGGCGGTCTGGCGCCTCACTGTCCCAGTCGCGGCCGTGGACATCCTCCGTGGCTTCGGTGCGGTCGGTGATGAGCTCCCCAGCTGAGAGGGCCATCCTTTTGGACCGGTGGGTTCCCTGGAGTTTGGAGGTTGGAGAGTGCCTTCTTTCGAATTGGCAAGAGCCAGGATTCACATCTCCACTGTCCAAGGCTGCACTCCGAACCACAATTTTCAGGGTGACCCGACAACCTTGCTTGAGGGCAAAGCTTGGACATCGCGTGGCCTCCTTGAGCATCCCAGTTTGAGTCCAATCAACCGCGGTTGGTCTCCTTGGATTCCCTTGAGCCAGCATCCGAAATCAGGGGGACACCCAAAGCAGCCACAGGTCGGGTCCTCTCTTCTGACCATTTCTGTTTTCCGAGACCCAAAAGTGTGGACCGCTGAGCCACCCCGGCCAGCTATCTGAGGCTCGGGAGGCGCCGACTGGAGCGACTGGCCGCGGGACGGGGTGATCGGGCCCCTGACGCCCATGGAGCCCATTAATCATCGCACCGACTGGCGGGCCAATGCGATGGTGTCCAAGGCGGCCGGGGGCGGGGTGGGTAGGTTCCGAATGAAGACTCTTATCAGAAGAAGATGGTAAGAACACACTTCCAGAAATTCGAGTTACACCCCAGCTTGCTTTCAGGGGGGGGTTCTAGTCCGTGGTGCCAACTTCGCTTAAACCTCAACAATACAGACCACTTTTGATTTCTTGTTAAAGGAGGACCGTTTGGGTCTGCTTGTTTGGATAGTTTTGCTCCGGCCCGCATTCTCGACGAGGTTCGCAAGAGCTGCACAGAGTACAAGGGTGCCAAGCGAGAGGACAACCTGCAGGCCTTCCAGGCAGGGCCCAACCCGAAGAAGTGTCGGGCGCAAGAGGCCGGAAGCCAAGCGGTGGATATCTACGCAGTCTATTCATCACTGTTGCATGAGTTTGTCCCTCACTGTTTGATTCGCAGCAGATGTCACGTTTATACAATCAAATTTGCCCAACAAACAAATGCGAGAACTAAACTAGCGACATCTTACGTTGGACTTGATCCCAAGGCGGGTCATTTTCAAACTTTAGTGGACGCCTCCGCATGTTGCAACCAGCTTTGTACGGGGCTTCTTGCTGAAGCTCCCTGAAGCACGATCCAAAAGGAGGCAACCTTGAAAGTACTTCCCAAACTCTTTGCGGCAACCAGGTTTGTAGAATCAACCGAGGCGTTTGGCTTCGCTGGTGCACACGTGTTTCAATTGTCGTCGTGTGGGGTAGGCTCCAGTCGCAAAACTGGAATTCGATCCTCTCAATAAATGCATCTGAGCTTCCGGTAGCCTTTTACACCATCCAGCAGAGATGTGCGCTCGGCATTTTGTTCAATCAACATCCCAGAACACATGTTTATAGTTTCCCTGTTTGGCGCTGTATTCCCCATTTGCACCGGCACAATAACAACTGGCACCAGCCGAGCATCCGTCCAGGGCCAGGATCGGGCAAAATTGATTTGAGCGATCACTTGCCGTGGCCCGTTGGCAGATATATCGTTCCACAAGGAACACGTTGAAGCAGGTCGGAAAATGCTTTCACATGTTGCCGGCCGAACCCGGTTGAAGTGGACCACGTCGCTGAGTCCCGTCCAGGGCCTGTGGTCCTCCATGTCCTTCCGCCGGCCCCGCGGGGTGGACGTGATCCACGCGGCCGCCGTGGCTGCCCGCAAGCCCCGGCCCCAGCCCGCCCGCGGCTTCACCGAGCGGGGCGGCCCGGGACCCGCGGCGGCGCGGCGCACGCCGTATGACATCGCCAAGGACAGTGGGCGGAAGGGGAACGAGGGAGGAAGGGAGGGGTCGGTTGAGATTCTGTTGTTCCAAAGTTGGGTTGGTTGGGGGCTGGTTTAGTTGGTCTTTTCCTCTTGGCTCAGGTCTTTGGATTCGGGGCCGGGGATGGGGCTTGCTTGTTCTTGCTTGGTGACATTCATCTAGGTGATGCGGATAGACATCTTGAATATCTTGGTTGATCATGTTAATGGTTTGCTTCAGGCTATTTGATTTCATGACAGGCTTGCATCTCTTCCTCCGAAGTGACCTTTTTGTTGACCATCTGTGTTGCTAGATCAGTGTAAGTGTTTTAGTCTAGTTTGTTCAACGACCTATACATTTTGAATGAAGGTTGCGTCTGCTATGTTCTGGCATACCAACTACTCTTGCGCATGTCTCAGGTTGCATGAGCAGATTCATGACTCCAGCATACAGCTGCCCAAACACATCACCCCCTTTTTGGCAGGGTGCAAAGCTGGTGTTGTGCAGGACCTTCAAAAAAGTCTCCCTCCTCGCAACACCACCTTGGTGGGTGTACCCAGGGCTTGCAAAGGTCTGTGGGCCGTTCATTTTTGCACGGCCCTGCCCTACCAACATGGCAACAGTTTCTCTTTGGGTGCTCTAATGAACCAGCATGTCGGGGTGCCAACCAGGAAATGGCAACCTCAAGTGGCCTCGTCAGAAAAGGTCAAAACCTATTGCTCTTAATTTTAGCAATAATCATCACTACCCCAGCATCACCAGCAGCGATACTAATAGCCATCACCATGCATTTGTAGGCCACCCTTCCCGTGCGCCTCCCCTCTTTTGCGAGGGATCGGCGGATTGGGGATGCGGGCGGTCTATTGCGAATGCATGGTGCGGTAGAGAAACGCGCTCTCCTGAAAAATAGCATGGGAACATAAGGAGCCCAGTGTGGACAGGCATCGACGCTGGGCGCAGAAAGCCTCCTGGGGTCCAGCTAGAAATTAGCAGTGCCCGCCAGAGAAATCCCCTGGCTCTTGGGGACATGCGTCCGCCATCGCGCAGTGATAAGTTTCGGTTTCCCTTGGCAGAATTCAAAAGGAGCGCGCAATTTTTTGACATCCTCATTAGGGCCAGGGACGACACCAGCCTACTAAGACTTGTGATTACTACCGTCCATTATGGACATACCTGTGCCATCCCATTTGACAGAATCTTCGGACAAAGGAACCCTCGAGGGATGAAAACCAGCCACGCGCCCTGAACAAGAACCGGCCTGGGACAAAGCGTAAATCACTTGAGGGTACTGTAGTCTCATCGACCCTTTTGTGGTTGCCATTGGCGGGAGTCCACTTTTCGGGGCTCGCTCAGAGACCCTGATGTCGTCCAGGATTTGCGCATTCCTTAAGCCGTCCTTGTAAGGGCGTCCCCGATTTTGTGAAGCATCCGCCTGGATGAAAGACTAACAAACTAATTTCCAAGAGATTCTCCTGTAGACAACCCATTTGAAAGAGACTTCAGCCTCATTTTTGCTAAGCTGTCCTTGCTTGATTCCAGGGGACCAAGAGCGCTGCTGGGAACCCTTGGATTTTTTCCTGCATTTGAGCCTCCTCGGATTTTTCCACCAGGTTGGGTTTTTGGACCGATCTTCTGAATTTGGTTAGGAGTGCCCCTTCCTGCAGAAGCTAGAGGACCAGTTGCAGGGCTTCGTGCAAATGCTGGTGGAGGAGGATGGCGCGACCGAGTCGGGGGTGCTGGGGCTCATAGGGCTCATAGGGCTCTTCGGGTTCCGGAAGTCACCCGCTTGGGATGAAGGTAAGGCTTCTGTTTTGGACCTGTTGACAAAACAGGGAATCCACCCTTTTGGCTGTTGTCAGAGGAAAACAAAGGTAAGCCCACAAGAAGTGGAAGAGCTCCAGTTAAGAAAACACCCACTGCAACAACTGATCATCCTTGTGTTCAATTGTTTTGCCCTATGACTCGAGGATTCCGCCAACCAACGTCCAGGCTCAAGGAACCTGTCCACATGAGTTGAACTCTGCAAATCGACATGAAATCCCATAGCAGCTCACTTGACCGGAGAAATTGATGTGTGTGTGTGTGTTTTCGGGATGAGCTTTGGTGGCTTCGGTGGAATTTTCAGAAAGATAGTGGTGGCATTGCGTTCAGGACGGCCTCAGCTTCCTGTCGGAGGTGGCGGGCCAGGCGGGGGGTGGACAGGGAGCGACATTTTGCGACAACGGACGGATATTGTTCAAAGGGACGCCCAGGTATACAAGAGTTTTCTAGAATGGAGGACCTGCATATCGTTTTTCTCTCTCCTTTTTGTTCATTTCTTTTCCCGAAAGCATCGCGAAGGGTTCTTCCGTGCGGAGCCCTTGGACAAGTTACATAGATCCAAGTTACATAGAGCCAAGTTACATAGAGCCAAGTTATATAGAGCCAAGTTACATAGAGCCAAGTTACATAGAGCCAAGTTACATAGAGCCAAGTTACATAGAGCCAAGTTACATAGAGCCAAGTTACATAGAGCCAAGTTACATAGAGCCAAGTTACATAGAGCCAAGTTACATAGAGCCAAGTTACATAGAGCCAAGTTACATAGAGCCAAGTTACATAGAGCCAAGTTACATAGAGCCAAGTTACATAGAGCCAAGTTACATAGAGCCAAGTTACATAGAGCCAAGTTACATAGAGCCAAGTTACATAGAGCCAAGTTACATAGAGCCAAGTTAGGTAGAGCTTGGAGCAGGCTATGTAAGTAGTTCAGGTTTCTAAGGCGCCGGGGTGGGAGTTTGATCGTCTCGCTGGGATTGCGACCCTCTGCGGAGATTCGCTGAGGAGTTCAAAAACTGAGGACTTTTTACGATTTCTGCTGGCCGCGCGCGACCCTCTGCGGAGATTCGCGTGGTCGAGGTTCAAAAACTGAGGACTTTTTACGATTTTTAGCATGCGCGCGCGACCCTCTGCGGAGATTCGCGTGGTCGAGGTTCAAAAACTGAGGACTTTTTACGATTTCTGCTGGCCGCGCGCGACCCTCTGCGGAGATTCGCGTGGTCGAGGTTCAAAAACTGAGGACTTTTTACGATTTCTGCGGTGCGCGCGCGACCCTCGCGGAGATCGTGCGCGTCGAAGCGCTCTCGCTGTGGCGCCGTGCGAATTGCGCGCCTGCTTTGCGCGAATCTCTCGCGGTTGCGCGGCTTTCGAATCCCGCGGTCGCGGGTTCGATTCCCCCCTGGTCCGCGGCAGCTCCGGCTTGAAAATCGCAGCTTTTAAGTACAAACGTAGTACGCGGAGCACACCTTCGCAGCTCCGGCTTGAAAATCGCAACTTTTTAGTACAAACGTAGTACGCGGAGCGTGCTCCCGCAGCTCAGGCTGGAAAATCGCAACTTTTAAGTGCAAACGCAGTACGCGGAGCACACCCCCGCAGCTCCGGCTTGAAAATCGCAACTTTTAAGTACAAACGTAGTACGCGGAGAAGTAAGTACAGACGTAGTATGCGGAGCGTGCTCCCGCAGCTCAGGCTGGAAAATCGCAACTTTTAAGTACAAACGTAGTACGCGGAGCACACCCCCGCAGCTCCGGCTGGAGAATCGCAACTTTTAAGTACAAACGTAGTACGCGGAGCACACCCCCGCGGCGCAGTTCGAGAGGAAAGTAGGATGATGAGATGGAGCTCTCATGTGACCATACACACTGAGCATCGCCGCGCGCAGACACGCTCGCCGCAGCGATGTAAAAAGGTGTCTCCGCAGCTGGATGAGCACCTGTGGAAAAATGCTTTCGGGCCAATCGTCTTTTTTCTTTCGGGTTTACCTGTGAGCAGCAAGCTGAAAGGGTCTTTTTCTTGTTCAGGACGAGGTGAAGGAAGCCCAATTTTGCAATGGGCTCACAAATTGTCAGCCTCAGTCAGAGAGTTGATGTGAAAATGGTCGGACTTTGGTGCCTGCTCAATCATTCGGTAGTTTGCTTGCCAGTTCTCCAAAATATGCGAATGTCCCCTCAGTAGGGAATGACTTTCTATCTACTGAGAACACGCTAGTTTCCTATTTTCGGTCGCGTTCGCTGGCGTTTCGAGCCCCACAACAGGTCCTGTACCGGGAGAAGGCGCGCGTGTTTCGATTGCAGCGGCGCTTGTGGTCGTGTGGTTGGAGGGCCCTGGGTCTGAGCCTTGGGGATTTTGACACTTAGAATGCTTCGGCAGGCTGTTGTTTGTTATGTACTGGCCTCGTCTACGTGTCCAAGACCCTGGAGGTCCCCACAGTCTCTCATTTGAATCATCACGGCACCTGGGGCGCGGCAAGCCTGTGATGAGCTGTGTATTGAACATGCCTGGACCAAACACATCTTTCAGCACAGATTGTCTCCCCCCACCAACAAATACAATTTGGTGCACATTGGAAGACTACTTTCCTTTTTGAAAAGGCAACTAGTTTCCTGTGCACCTTGCCTTGTTTGTCAGAGGGCACGCCGCTAAACAGTGCCTCTTTTGATTTCTCTTCAATAGGTATGGGGCCTGCTTGCTGGCCAAGCCTTTGGCAACCCCTTTCGTTCAGCAGCCCCCTTCGTTCTTAGGCTCAAACATCCAGCACGACCCACAATCCACAATTCGCAATTCACAATTCGCCCGTGCAGGCATGAATTCCTACACTGGATGGATTGATGTTTGACACCAGATACTCCCTTGTTTTTTTTTTGGGGGGGGAGTGCCAATTCCATTTGGAGACACGTTGGAGACACGTCCATTTCTCTCAGTCAAAAAGCAGGACATGCTCTTCAATGCCTACATTTTGCTGGCGGGTTCCGTCCAGCAGTTCTCAAATGACTACGACTTCCTAAACTCCGTGGGCTGGCGCGGCCATGCCGAACAGACGGACAAGGCGTGTGGGCGCGCTTGGCGCGCCGGTGTTTGGTGCGAGGTGAATTGTTTTTGAAGGAGCCAGCACAGATTATTTGGAAGGAATTGGCGCTTCCCTTTGCAACCCTCAACATCCAGAAGCACATTTCTGGAAATGAAGCTTGACTGGAAGGCTTTTCCTTGATCTCCAGAAATATTCCTCCCCAGATGCGGCAATTCGGAGGAACGATGGGGTGGAAGTTGACCCCTTCCAGGGTCCAAATAAATTGACTTTTGGCCTTTCGCTCGTTTGAAGCAATTCAACGCGTGGTACCCTCCGACCTCTCCATACCAAGTTCTGGATCACTTGAGGCTGACCAATGGAAGCCCAGTTTTGGCTCTTTTTTTCGGATCAGAGTCAAACGGCCGTCTCTTTGCGCCAACTGCCTGCTACTCCAGCACTGTTTGTTTGGCTTCAGTGGAGAACACGCTGAAAGGAAACCACCAGCTAAACTCCGGGAGGATCGCAGGCAGTTTGAGACAGGCCATGTACTTTGATTTTTTTCCAAACCTGGAGCATGTTGCTTCATCTCCTGATTTGTTGTTGTTGAATATTTGCGAATCCTTCAGAAACACTGTGCTTGATCTCATGCGTTGTTTCTTCTTTTCTCAAGAAGTAGGTTCTTCATATTTGGTATTGTTTGTTTCGCAATTAGCATTGTTTGATCTCTTGAGTTGCTTGTTTTGTTTCATCTCCAGGAACATGTTGTCCGATTCTCTTTTTTTGCTGCTACATAAATTCATTGTCCAGAATTATGTTGTTTGATCTCCTGAGCTCTTTTCTTGCGTCTCCAGAAAGCCCTCTCTTGGGCTTTGCATGTAGAGGCGGAGGAGGAGCGGCCGGAGCGGCCGAAGCGGCTGCACCGGCAGCCCACCATGCGGTCGACCCAGCGCACGGCCGAGCAACACCTGAGCATGCCGACGCTCACGGAACCTTAGCAGAAAGGCAGAAAGGTCAACATGATCAAGGAACCCTGAATGAGCACATGGAACCGTGTTTCTTGTTCTTAGTAGGGACTGTGGGAATACCTCACCATCCAGTATTATGCTCTTGTAGGGCGGCGAGGGAAGACAAAGTTCGGATATTCCTTTAGTCAGGACAAGCAAAGTTTGACCTTTGAGTTTCCTGCTGTCATGGATCCCTATAGTGGTGTTTCCCCACATAGTTTGACATAGCTTGGTTCCCTTCACATCCAAAAGGCGGTCGATTTTCAATGTTGGGACTGCGCCTTTTGACTTCCCAGTTTCGGTCCATGTTCAGTTCTGACCCTGCCTGCAAGCAAGGAGCACGTGCGGCAGGTGGGAAGGCGAGAGGAGGATCAGGAGATGAGGCCCGGGAAGCTGAACACGATCCGGCCAATCTATGGACACTCAACTTGTTGGGACCTGGCTTCTTCCACTGAGCACCAACAGTCGACAGTGATTCTTAGCCCAACCTCCGGGGGTGTTCCATGCACATGAGTCCATGAGATTGCTACAGTAGGCATAACAGCCATCTGCAGCGGGTTCTGGGCATTTTTGGGCATTGCGCGCAGTTGTCCGGTGGCTTCCACGCATGTTAAGGTGACAAACAACATGAGACGGGCAAGTCCCCTTTCCTGGCAACAACTGGACGAGGAAACGCACGATCTTGGGAAACGAACAGTTCAGACACCTTTTGGCCAATCCACCAGAGGTCAGTGCACAAAAGCGCACATGTGGCTTTGTTGAGAGAAAGCGAGTCAATGATGTCGAGCAGAGTGTTGGACTGCACTTATTCCACTCACTGGCTAAAGTGTCTGAACAAAGTAGCCAGCAACAAAGTAGCTTGTTTTAAGACCGCTGTTGCACCCTTTGGGAGTGCTTCCGGTTCTCCCTGGTGTGTCTCAAAGTGGACCCTCCAAAGCCCTGCCTTAAAGAAGGAAAAGAGCCCCAGGCAGGTAGGCTCGAAACCTGGGGTGGGAACCTATATAAGCCGCAAACTGCAGGTTGGGTTCCCAAGGCACTGAAGAGCAGCAAGGAAACACCGCTGTCAGGTTCCGGACGGTGGAGGGGCAGAGCGACTTCACTCAGGAGAAGGGGGTCTGGCTTGTTCTAGTCGGGATCATAGAACTAAACCTTCCAACCCCGGCAAGGAAAACACATAGTAGTGGTATGGATATGTGTCATGTATGTAATCCAGGACTCTGCCTGCTACAGCCTGGTGTGTACAAGCGAACCACCACAGGATTCGAGCAAAGTGGCTGTGTGGGTGGGGCTGCATGGTGAAAGGGCAACTCCCACAAGGAAACGCCACTGGCCACGCCGAGTGCCACCTTCTCAAGGGTTCTTTTCAAGAGGGGCCATTTCAACAACCTGGCCAAACATGGTCCAACTCCCGTGTACAGACCGTATCAAAAGCGGAGCCAATAGCCTGTGCCTATGCCGGTCTCTGGTCTCGTCTTTTGGCCCAAGGGCGGGTGGAATGACCTGCCCAAAACAAACGTAGCGCCATGGGCGGATCGGTCGGCGAGACCGAGCCCCTCGTGGCCAAGGCTTTCCCGACATCGGGGAACGCTCAGCGTGAGTATCCCTTTGAACCCTGCAAAATTGGCTGCTCGTGTATCCACGTTTTGGGGGTCGGCTGCCGGAATTTAGTATCTCCCCCGAAGGAACTATCAAAAAGGCGTATTTCAGGAGTTCGGAAGGTGAGCCAAAGAAGGTGAGCCAAACGAGTTTGGGGGACACTTCCAGCGAAAGATCGAAGAGGCAAGGAGATGGTTTCCCCTATTTTCCTGTTGGGTTTCAAGTTGTGGCTCAGTGAACAAATCCTTCCTGGGGAGGCTGTTTTGCTGGACGGCCGCTTGTTCGCCACCTGCGCGGGGTTTTTGGCGGACTCCTACGACCTCTTCACCATCGACCTGGTGGTCCTGATCTTGCAGATCCAGTATGGAGAAGAGCTTATCTCTACAGGAAGAGCCATCCTTCCATGGGATGCGTCACAACTAGGGCCCGCTAACAAACTGTCGTGGCTGCCATGTCTAAGCGGGCACAATTTCTCGAAGCACCTTGACTTTGTATCTATGCGGATGCACGATATCTTGCGCATTTGGCGACCGATTTTCACGGGGAAGTCAAAGCCTCATGAAGTCCATCAAAGATTCCCCAGTTGAGTTTCATTCGCATTCGCGTCATTGGCTTAAAAAGGAGCCAAGTCGCTGATGGTGAGCACCATGCTCTTGGGCGTGGTCTGTGGCCAGCTCTTCTTTGGCTCCCTCAGCGATTGGCTGGGCCGGAAGTGGGCCTTTGTGGCCACAGCCCTGCTCACCGTGCTCAGTGCCCTGGCAGGCCGGCTGAAAACTCGCACCCGGGCACCCAACCACCCACTGTTTCAAGACAAAATGTCCGGGCACCCACTGTTTATGCCCTTTGGATTTTTTCCTCCCCTTTTCTGACCGTTCTGACCGTTCTGACCCTTCGGCACGTGTTCCACGTGGGTTCCGCTCACTCAGCGGCAGGTGCTTTGTGCGTGGATGGCGCCTGGCGGTTGCCGCAGCAGCTGGCGCTGTGCCGCTTCTTGCTGGGCTTCGGGGTGGGTGGCGAGTACCCGCTCTCCGCCACAGCGGCTTGGGGAAAAATGGGAGATGATGGTTCCTCTCCAGCTCTGAGCCTTGTATGTTTTTTGGCCCGGAGCGATTTGGTCGAAAATGCACGGATTCGCTTCGGAGATCATGCGAGAAGATTGGAACAATACAGAGAGCGGTGCCGCCCAAAGGCGCCAATGTCTTGCGGGAAAACTGTTGGAACCCGTGCGGAAAAAAAGCGGAAACTGGGAAACCAAACCCAGGGAACCCGTGAAAAAACCTCGCGATTTGCGTCGTCTTTCGGGCCGTCTGGTCCGGTTAGCTGGCCGCGTGTAGGCCACAGCAGGCGTCATCTGCTTTGATCTCGTCCACGAGACTTTTCCCATCAAAACCTTGTGCTTCCAGCTCCCAGCCGTGGCCATGGCCCGTTTCGCCCGTACGCGTCGTTGCGAGGTTTCGGCGGAGTCCGTGGATGACGCTCAAGGCGCGGCCTGAAGCCGGGCCTGCGAAGGAGCTGGACCGTGGCCAACTCAGGGTGTTTCCCGTTTCAGAAGCATTCGCCCAGAAACCGGCATGCAAGGCAGCCCGGACAATGTTCTTGCTGGTCACGGCAAGATCCCTGAGCAAACTTGCCAGTAACCTTCTCGGTTCCGTGGTCGGTATCCTTTTGGCTTCTCGTTGATCACCGTCCAAAACGAGTAAACACATCCGGGCCTGTGATGCCAAACCGACCCGCAAGCGGTCCAAGTGCACCGTGCAGGCCGCGGCCGTGTGATGGCGCTGGTCTTGTCGATGCAGGTGGGTCTTCCGTAACTTTCCAAACTGAGAAATTATCGGATCGGTGGGGGTCAGAACCCCGACCTGAGTCCCCCTCCTGGCTGGGACCAAGCCAGGCTCTTGTTTGAAGGAAGGAGGGATGTAACGTTGTGCATTGGACCAGCGGTTTTTGCGCTTGGTGAATCCCTCGTTTGCTTGGTTGAGGGTATGCAAAAAGACGGGCGAGCCCTATTTTAAAGCGCATGGCTTCCCTTTCAGCGCCGTCCCGATCGGGGCCTTGTCCGATTCGACACATCGAGCTGTCATCCCCCGCTTTCCCGCCTGACAGGGCTTCGGGATGATGCTGGCCGCCCTGTTGGCAGCTTGGACTGTTCGATCGGCGCAGCCCGAGAGGGTGGGCCGCGTTCGTTGAACAACCAGACCCAGGTGTTGGGTTGCTGCCCCACATTTAATGGGAGACACCAGGGTTGACGTTCGGATGGAATATTTCCTTGGGTTAGGATTTGCCTGTGTATTGCTTTGTCAAACCCTTCATAACTATTTGAACAGACGAACCCATATTTTCGGAACCACCTATTTGTGGCTGCGGCTGCGAAATTGAAGGGCACTGAACAAACCCAACTAAAGGGTCAAACCCAAAGTTGCGTCCGCAATCTCAGGTTCCCTTTTGCGGGCTCAGCGTCTGTTCGGTGCGGTTGAGGCAATGGCACTGGCCAAGACCGCGTCGCTGGAGGCGGAAGGGTTGCAGTCTGTGGTTTGGAGGTCGTTTCTTTTCTGGGTTGCTTTCCCTTTGATTCCAGCGTGGTGAGGTGTTGATTTTCATTTGAGATAGAGCGAGACTTGGAAGAACAGCAGAGGAAGTCCAAAGCAAGATTAAGAGGAGCAAGACCCAGAAAGCGGAATTTTGTTCCTGAACAGTTTCTCAAGTAGCCTTCCCTTGACCGGCAGATCTGCTGCGAAGTGCCAGAGTCCAAGAACCCAGCAACTAGAAACAGCAGACTTTCCGGAACACACAGTTTCCCGGAACGTTGCACGTAAGCCAAGAACACTTAAAATTGAATACATGGTTCCAACTAGGGCATGAAGGGTCGGAGAGGCCACCTGGCGGCTGCTGCTGGCCTTCGGGGCTTTGCCCTCTGCCGTCGCCTTCGGCACCTTGCCTCCGCTTTTGAGAAACGAATCAAACGAATCAACGAATCATTGCTTTCCATTTTGGAGCCTGGAAAGCGGTTTGATTTGAGGGGCTCGGCCTGTCGCGAAAGACGGCAGCCGTGAAATATGAAACCTGCTGCAAAGCATGAATGCTTTCCTGGTGGACGGTCCACGCCTAGTTCCGTGCATTCAGGTCAATCTGCAAAACAACCTTCTCCAATAAGTCAAACTGTTCTTCCGAGTCGGCAACATCTTGGGACTTGGCGGGCGGCTCTCGAGAGCTTTGTGGGTGGTTTCGCACCATACTTTCGGCCGCCACGTTCGGGAGGACTACGGTGGCAGCTGCAGGAATCGGAGGTCTTCATCAAATCCAAGGCGGTGGAGGCAAGGGCTCGGGTCAATTTTGCTAAGAGGGACATCTCCAGTATGTGCACCATGGGTTTTATTTGAAGGCTAGGCAATTGTCCTGGGCCTTGGACAATTGGTAGCCCATTTGCTTTTCATGGCTGGACGCCAACCCGGCAGTGCCCGAAGGCTCACAAGCCCAGCTGCTTTTGACAGCCCGCTTTGGCATGTCTGCCCAGGTTGATCGAATGTTTTTGCATCATGGTCCTATGGAGAATGGGGCTTGAGAGGTCTCATTTGCAAGCCTGTACTGGGAGCCCCCAATGGCCATCAGGCCTGTACTGGGCACCAATGGCCATCAGGCCTGGGAGGCTCCCAGGCCGATTGTTTCTTGACCGAAGGGCGACCACGGCCGGCGAGTTCTGGAAACATTGGCTGACTACTGGCCTCGGCTTGTGGGCACCGCGGGCGCTTGGATGCTGCTGAACGTGCCCCTGGGCTCTATTTGGGAAGTTCCATCGAGGCCCCGATGCTAGGCCCCTTTCCTCAGGACTTGTTGTGTCCAAGCCCCAACCACTTCGTTCGACCTCATGTTTTGTCTTTGCAAGGTTACTTTTGGTTACTGGTCAAAACACATGAATCGGGGGGGATCTTCCCGCCCTGCCCCCGAATCCCCGGCAGCCGTCATGTCAATGGAGGGACCGCCTACCCTGAGATGAACTGTGGAGGTTCCCAAAATCTGGTAAAGGTTGGTGCTAAAGCCAAGCTGCACGGCTCTACTTTCAGTCCCCCATCGTAGGAAGCACAACGGGCATCAGCGTTCAACAGAGTCGCTGTAGTTATGACTCACCCTGGAGTCCACCCAAGGTTTGGCAAACCGCTTATGAATCTTGAGGCTTTAGCACTCCGAAGTTGTCACGAGGTTCACCTACAGCCTGGGCTCCTTCAAGAGCAGCATCTTCGAGCCGGGCCTGGGCGCCGCGAGCGCGGACGACGCCCCGCTCCCAGCGGGCTACCGGAAGGGGGGCAGAAATGGGAAGCCAGCCGACTTCCTTAGGTTGTTTCGGCTTTGTCCGGCCCGTTGAAAAACAATCTTCCGAAAAGTGGTCCACTATATTTCAAAAAGGTAAGGGAGCCGTTTCGGTAGGTTGAAAAGGCCAAAGCTTTACCTGATCCTTTTGAATACACTGCAGCAGGCCACAAACTCCATCGAAAGAATTGTAATTTGCTTTTTGGCCTTGCAATGTCCTTGAAAGTGAGAACGGGCTGCGAGCCATTTTTGTCGAGGGCACGAGAGGCGGGCAGATCCTTGCGTTGCTTTTTGCTGAGTGAGGTCTTTCAGCAAGCGCTGTTCGCTGCAGTGACGACCCTTGGCTGAAGCAGAACTATCGCAGACGCGGCCAGGGTTTTGCAAGACGATGTGGAAAAAGGCCGGCAGTTGGCACCTGACCACTGCCATGGTGGCAAGAGGGTGCCAATTGGCTCTACCTTCCACCGCTCCCAGGCCCTTTACCCTGAGACATTTGCAGCCCTTCTTTCTTCAAAGGGTCCCTGTGATTTGGTTTTCTGTCAAAGGGGTGAGAGGGAATTGACCCTAGGAGCGGCTTTGCGATCCTGGGCTTTGGGGCTGGGCTATTGCTGGTGCAGCGTGCGAGCCGCCGCTCGGCTGTTTGGGAGGCCTGAGGGCCATTTGGCTCCGGGCTGACCTCCGTTTGAATTTTGAGATCTCGGTGCTAAATGGAGAGTTGGGCAGTTCTGAGCTGGAGGCCAAAGAAAGGTCCGGTCCGAAAGAAAGGGATCCCGCGCAGATTGGAGGCCTGTCCCTCTTGAACCAGGCAATCTTTTGGCGTCTCAGCATCAAGATTGAACTTGCTCGAAATGGGCTTTGTGGCCTTTGGGAGGGGATGCTCGTGAAAACGTTCAACAGTCTCAGAGTTTGAAGTGGCTCCTTTTGATTGTGTTTGGGCTCGAACACTTGGATCTCAAAGGTCATGAACTAAAGCCTCCGCGAAGTCTGACTTTGGCAGCCAAATAAGTCCAACCAGGATTTCTGGTGCACCTGGGGTTCACTTTTTCGATTTGTGTTTTTTGGAGGCAAATGGCATGCTCATGGATCTGTCATTTTTTTGTTTTAACAAATAAACATAAAATAAAAGATCCTTTTTCGTCAGGGGAAGACCCACGGCTTGCTCCTGGCCATTTGGCCTTGGGATCGTTCGGAGGTTTCCACATGCAGCTCTACGGTTTCCTGTCCCTGGCCGCCGTCTTCGGCGCAGCGACCAGTCCCAAGCTGTCGAAGCTCCAAGGGAATTTTGTTCCACAAAGGGGGGTGGAGGGTTCTTAGGTCAAGCCTGGAGTCAGATGGAGAGAAAGAACACATTGTGCCCTACCTCTCCAAATGGTGAGGTTGATGATTTATAAAGAAACATAAAAGGGGGGCTTCAGTTTGAAGGTTTCAACCCAGATTGGAGTACCCCCAAGTGCCGAAAGCGACCCCCACCCCAGCTGTACTGCTTGCTTTAAGATATGAGGTGCACGTACATGTATACGTGGCCCTTTTAGTTGGAGCTGAAGAAAGCAAGCAAAAGGAACGCCGAAAGCAGAGAGATCAGTAGGCTGCCAAAAGCTGCTTGAGATATCCCACCTTGTAAGGGTTCAATTTGTTCAACAACGCAACAGTTCAGAGTCGGAGACCCAAATTTGCCCTGAAGCACCATCCAAACAGAGTTCCTCGGGGACATCAGACATGTGCCTTCCAGTTTTCAAGTGCCCTTCTACATGGCTTGGCATTCGCACGGGAGGGATGCAAACCCATGCAGGGAGAGGACTGGAATGATTGGCTTGCTTCTGCTCTTGTGAGCCATATGGGTTGCCGAATGGTGATATTCCCCCAACCATCTCTCCCCAAAAAACGAGCCTTAGTTTGGACACTCCCCATAGGGTCTCCTGACGCGCCCAGGTGTCTGGGTTTAGCGCCTTTGCGAAGCAGACGGCGGTCACGAATCTCATCGCCTTGGGACTGGTGTGCCTGGACAAAGTGAATTTCAGGGGAACGAAGGCACATGAAGGGAGTTGAGCAAACCGTACGGGGAGTGGAAGCACAAGTGGCAGGAGGCTCCATGAATTGGTGCTTCATGCCTTCCCAGTCGCCTTGTTTGAAGTGTATAGGTGTGTGCTCGATGGACTGAGGTTTTTCTTGATGAACGCGGGCCCGAATCTCACAACTTACATCCTGCCAGCGGAAGTCTTTCCCACCTGTGCCGGAGCCTGGGCATCTCTTTGTGCGCATCCCATGAAAAGGGGCGCTGGAGCATGCCGGGGCGCGTTTCCGCCTTCCGTTCCAAAGATTTGCTCAGCCTGATTGCGCTTGCAGTTGGCTATCCCCATAGCTGAGCAACATCACCCGCATCACCTGCATCATCTACATCGCCTGCATCAACTGCACTACCTGCAATAATCAATCCCTTGCGGATTACACCCCCCCCCCCCCAATTTGCGCAGGACAGGTATTATTAAGCCTGCACTAGCAGGCTTAGCTGCATCATGAATATCCCAGTTTCAAGCTCTGTTTGGCGTGGGGGCCTGGGGTTCCAGCTTTCTGCCCCTATGGTGTCTTGACCTCTCCCTATCCCTTCACGCGCTGAGTGGAGTCGGTCGCTTAGGTCCGCGGCACCTTCCACGGGATCTCGGCAGCCAGCGGCAAGCTGGGGGCATTTCTGGGCACCGTGGCCTTCCCCCCGCTGCAGCAGCACCAGGGCAACCCGCCCAAGAGACTCACGGTCGGAGCGCATTGCCCTCCCGGAGAAGGTTTGACGCGTTTCACAGGGATCGTTTTCCCTTGGTTTGAGCATCACTTTCTGGTCCAAGTCTTGGAGGATGTTCAAAGGGGACCTTGGAAGGAAAATGTATGTTTGGGAGCCCTGGGACCACTTGCTACCTGTGGAATCCCAAGCATGGCCAGGGGCCTGAAGCGCTACCAGTTCAACAGTTTCACCACAGATTCAAGTGAAGTCTTATGCGAGTTTGCTATGTCCACTTGTTCCTGAAATTGAGATCAGTCTCAAGCACAATCTGAAATCCTGACCACGTTCCCAAGTCCATTCTTCCACCTGCGCGGCCATGGGCGGCGGTGCCTCGTCGGCGGTTGCATTTTCAGCTGCCGCGGGCAAGATGGAAGAGAAGGACTTGGAGGAGATCGTGAAAAACCTCGACAAGGAGGCCTTGAAGAAACTGCAAGGAGTCGTGAACCGAGTGGCTGACGGTAGCATGGATGCTAGCAAGGATGCTAGCAGTAGCAAAGAATGGCACAATGCGAAGGAGGCTTCGAGCATGAAGCAGGCCATCTTCATGTGGAACCCATCGCAAGTTTACGAGGCGATGTGGGAAGATGGGATTGAGTGGGCCTTGCCCAAGGATGAGAATGGCACTCGAAAGGGCACTGATGGCACGGACCTCCTGACCAAGAAGATCTTCGCAGAAGAACAGCAAAACAAATGGGAGAGCAGGTTGAAGAGCAAAGCACTGTTCTTTTTCCACGATCAAGTTGCCGCAGATGTGCCTTACGTGCCGCCAGAGTCTGCGAGACCGCACGCAGTGTACTTGTGGACAGAGTCTGAGACGCTGAAGGCCTTGAAGGAGATTGGAGTGGATACCCACAACTTCGATGGGCAGAAGCTGCTGAAGGTTGGCTTGAAAGACATGATGTGGGCTTTCGAGGCGGCCGACATGGTCGAGGCTGAAGGCAAGAAGTTCTTCGAGGCTGTGGCAAAGTTCATGCAGAGTGAGAAGTAAGCGCGTTCCGCACGTTCCGACCTTCAAGAGGCGGAGCACCGGGCTGTTGCTGTTTCACGCCGGGGTTTGGGTGCATGCCAGGAGCAAATTCTGGCGCGACTCTACGTGCAGATGGTCATTGACTGATTGTTTCCAATTGCTACGTTGCAGCGCGTTAAACGCTCTCTGTAAGGATTCGTAGCGGGGTGTACATCCCTGCAGATGTTGACCAAGCTCCGCATGCTGAATGGAAGATCGTCTGAAAAGATGATAGCAACCTTTTGGCGGCAAAAAAGCAGCTGGACGCATGACTTTGGGCACCAGGCGTGTGTCACAACCAAGAAGCCCTCAAAATGGTCGGAGTCCTGTTGGCTTCCATTTAGCGATCCGCAAGGTTCCAACTTGTGTTGGCACACGTCAACAACCGGATGAATTGTGATTGTACCTGGCTTGGCTCCTGCTTGGCACAGCAACCAGGGACATGCTGGCGTCGCAAAGCTTCGCTGCAGTCCTGGTACTTGTGCTGGCAAGTTCGGACTCTACGTTGAGCATGCCATCAGCCAAAGCACCAAAGAGCACCCCTGCGGCCAATCACCCCTCCATCACTTCCCTCCCTCCATATTAGCTTGGGGAGAGTGAATCCCCTGTTAGTCCCCCCCCATCAAGCCGAGGCATGTCTGCGGTCTACGGTGCCTGCGGCGCCTTGTCAAGGTCGAGAGGGGCGCCTGCCGATTTCCGAGAAATCGGTGACGATTTCGCTTTTCGGGTGCTTTTGGTTGGCTCGTCTAGTAGCATTCAGAAGGAAGTTTGGGGCTTGATACTGGAGGGGTGGCCCAACATTAATGGTTATGCAGCAGTTTTCAACAAAGTAGAGCAGGGCAAGGTGGACGTTGGCTGAGACACTTTCTCAACATCAGCGCTACGCTTGGCGGATGATTCTCTTTGTCTGAGAGCCACTGCGCTTGTTTGGCGGGAAGACCCTCAAAAGGGACATGAGCGACCTGCAACATGGGTTGGGCCTGAGCACAAAATCTCTCTCTCAATCGCTCCAAGGACTGCGAGCTGTTTGGCGTTGGCCTTGCTTGGTTTCCAATTCCCACCCAACCGACCCTTCGGGGGCAGAGGACTTGTCCTCCCTGGTGGTTTGGGGGAGCTGTGCCTGTGTCTCTCATATGAAGCAGCGCGCTGCAACTCCTATGCCCATAGCTGTTACAGGATGTCATGCGCCCTTGCGACATGGGGTACTCCCGAAATTCTCAAATGGAATGCTGGAGGGGAGGAGGAATGGCGACCCTCGCTTTGGGAAATCCTGTGCTGGCCACAGGAATGTGAGTTCCACTTGGGTCTGGTAAAGCGAACTCAGGTTGATTTGAAACCCAAGATCAGGCAGCGTTTGCAGTCTCTTGTGCTGAGGTGTCTTCCATGGAGTTCGGGGCTAACAGAGAGTCGTTCGTCACTTCCCCCTTCGAGCCTTAGTGCGAAACCTCCTGAGGTCTGGCTTCTCTGCTCGCTGCAGTGCTTACGTACTTCCTGACCCCCAGGGTGGCCACGTGGATGGCATGGGGGGTTGGAGCTCCCAATTTCGAGATTCGGGGTGTTCGTTTGAAATCCCAAGTTGGCTCTGTTTGGTTGGGGCACGTGAATGATGCAGGAGTTGCATCAATTCACTTGGATTTTGCGACTCCAAACTTTTGGAAAGAGACACTGCCGTTCACTCAAACCAGGTTCTGTTCCACTGTCTGGCCCAAAATTTTCGAGGGCTTTCAGATCATCCTTACCCTCATGCTAACGCATATCTTTTGGTCTTTTTTCTGGCCGAGAGTGTTCTGTTTCGAGGATCCTTCCCCAAGCAGTCAGGCCACCAGCCTGGAGAAGCTTGAGCTGCTTGGCCACAGCCTGTGAGAGCACAAAAACGATATGCTCCAGTCTGTGCGAAGGGGCGCGCTCGCCCGGCGGTATGGTTGGGCGGGAGTTTTTTTGTTGGTGGATCAAACCAAGTTCCGAGAGCCGAACCTGCAATCAATCAGAAGGTGGGGGCAGTGGGGTGCCATTTTGCTGGATTAAGTTTGAAGAAGGGAACTCAGGGGACCCTGTTGGAAAATTTGTTTTTTAATGCCCAAGTCCCTGACCAGGGAACACTTGATGTGTTTGGACATTTTCTCTGGCAGGCTTACAGTCCTTGAAGGCTCAAACCCATTTGCAATGATGGATTTGCGCTAAACCCCATGACGGAGAAACGAATATCAATTAAGTGAGGGGGTACCCGAGTCCGCCAAACGCATAAGAATACTTTTGATTTTCTTTTGCAAGTGAGGCACAGGAAAGCCGCGAAACAATCAATCACATTCGAACATTGGTGGGAAACTTGGTCAAATCACATCAAAAGGGCAGAACTATTCTTGTGCTTTTGGAGGGACTCGGGCACCCCGAGTCAATTCTTATTCATGTTTGTCTCAGCGCATTTCAATGTTGGCCCGCCCCACTTATTCCGGGGGAGGCTCAGTTGCGGGGTGTAACAATGTTACTTATGACCGCCCATGGTCCCCCAATTCATTAATTTGCTTCTCAAGTTCCTTCTTGTTATTGAGAAAAGACGCGCACACACACACAAACACGATTGAACTACTCGCAATGGTTTGCAGGAAACGTTTTTCAAGTATTGGGGGGCATCTCTCACTTACCCCCCATACAGCAGGGGGTTTGTTTAAACAACCAATGTGCCCTCGGGAACATAATTTCAGAAGTAGGTAGGTTAAATGGAAACACAGTTTTGTTTGGACATGTGTTTTCACAACGGGCGGCCCAAAAGGAGGATTCCTTGAATGGACACATTGGAATACGTGACTGCAGTCCATAGATGGAGACATACGATCGGAAATGGAACCCAAGAGTGCGGACGGTGATGATTTCTGGGAGTAGCAGAATCGTTGGAGGCCGCTTTCCAAGGTCTTTGTATGTTAAGAAGCAACTCAAAGTCTTTGGGAGAAGTGAGACGGGTTGATACAGCTCACCCCTACAGAATGCTCGGTCTATGACCAATGGTTGCACCGCAGTTCGCGTCCTTGAAATGGCTGCAAGGCCTGGCTTTATGTGGCCAGTCTCAAGTGCCCCACAAGCGGCACCCTCTGCAAGAATCAGTTGCCATCATGATGCTTTGAGGCGAATCCTGCATGAGGATGTTAAACTAAGGGTTCTGTTTAGTGTGAACAGGTGGTTAGGCCAACATTGCTTGCGGTGAAGGAGTGAGCTCAGCCCTTCAAACTTCACAGCTTTGGCGCACCCCCCCCCCAGCCGGTTTCAAGCCTTTCTTTTGGGCGAGGACTCAATCCTCGGGGACCTCTTTGATACTGCTGGTGCGGCCCGCACTTTCGAGCTGGGCGACGGCAAGGGCTAGTCCCAGAATCCCACAAGAAAGTGAGAGAAAGTCGGGTTTTCTTGATCCAAGCAGGGGAAAGGACCTCATGTACGGCTTTCGCATTTGGAGCCTTTCAACCGTCACCAAGCAGAAACTGCTTGCCGCAAGGTGAAAGAACAAAGTCAAAGCAGGCCCTCAAGAATTGCAGTGAAAGCAGCTGTTGAATGGCCTTAAATCTGTCAAGATTAGGTTGGATGAACAGGACACCATCAAGTTCTTTGGAAGGGCCTGTTGGCCTGTTGGCTGTCCCCAACCTTGGGATGCGAGCTGGGTTTTTCTTCGCCAGTCACGCCTGGTGCGCTGGTGGGGGAGCCGGCCCTGCTGGGTGAGCAGGTCTGGCGCCACACGGCCATGCCCGGCACCCAAGATCAACGCAGCTGCCATGGGAATGGCCTTGTTCGCCCGTTCCGCTTCTCCCCGTTCCGGGTTCAAGTTCCGGTCTCTTCATGCTTCGAGCACTTGCTTGGAGCCTTCAGGTGCCTCAAGGATTGCGAGCTCCTGGCGCAGGGGCCCTAAAGTAGGCTGGATTTGCTGTTTCGGGGGCGCCTTCTGGAGGTTTCGCTTTGGGTCTTTCGGCTTGTGAACATCCGAATGGGCTTCTGATTTTTGCAGAACTTGTGCCTTGAGAGTCCCGCTGTTTCTTACGGAGCCTGTTTTGGGGGCTGATCTACATTACCTGATGCCAAAACCTGTATTTTCTTTGGGTATGCAGTCAATCCTTCGATTCAACAAGAACGATGGTAGTTGCCGCTGGCAAACCCAGATGTTGGAAAGACTTCCCAAAGAAACGTGGACAGTTTCAATAGTAGAGGTATGAACGGGATTTGACCGGTTTTTGCGTGGTCTGCAAATGCGACGTGGATCCCTGGACGCCTTTGATTGTTGTTTTGATCTGGGGTTGAGGCCAATTAGCAATGACTGGAATCCAAGGAAACCGTTGCCACGTGCAACTTCCGTTGCGACTGCCAGCAACCGGATTTGGATCGGTTAGCTGCCCCGAGGATCAAAGCACAGGTCTTCTCGAAGGTTTTGCAGACGCCGGGACCCCTGAGGTCAGTCCTTCTTTCGGCCTACCTAAACGCGGCACCCACCTGCCATGGATGCTGACGCTTGCAGCAGAAACAAAAAGCGAAAGGGAAAAACGTCAACTAAACAGAAGAAAGGCAACCGATAGATGAAACACATCGTGTTTTGAGGGTCAACAGTCAGCACTTTTTTGCGGACCTCTGGTCTTTTGCTCTCTGGTCCGTTGCTTTACTGGTCCTGTTTGACCGTGCTCTGAGCCCGGTACCTTGTCCATGAAGGCGAGTCATGTGTGTCCCCCGAAGTCTGCTCCCGAGCAATGGGCAATGCTGTAAGGGCAGTCCACCTTGCGTTTATGGGAAGTACGGTGGAGTCTCTAAATGTTGAGAGTAAGCCAACCGCAAGATACGTGGTCACAGTACTTTGCACGCACTGGACGTTTCGGCCAATAGATCTGACCATTTCCTCCCCAAAAGCATTAACTCTGACGACCCATGTTACCCATGTTATGGACGAATCGCTAGGATGAAAGACAACCAGCGCTTCTTCGAGCGCTTCCTGCCGGGTCTGCCACAGAAAGTCC